GGACTGGTGATGACTCTATGTGTGTCAGAGCAGAATTGTGCTCCATGGGGTTTTCCATGGCTGATTTTTCAGAAGGAGATCACCAGGCCTTTCTTCTGAGGCACCTCCAGGTGGACTCAAATGTCCAACCTTTTGGTTAGCAGTTGAAAGCATTAACTCTTTTTTTCTTTTTTTTTAACCACTCAGAGACTTCTACAGGTTTTAACTCTGCTTGGAATGTCCTTTCCTCCTTTGCTTAGTGAATCTTGCTCATCTCACAAGGGCAGCTCCACTGTTCCTCCCTTGTGGAAGATATCCCCATCACACTCAAGCCACATGCTGGCCATCTTTTTTATGCCCCTTTTTGCATGGCTCACACTCATGCTGATGCCTGTATCCCACCTTCTACTTCTTGTTTACATGTGCATCTCTTCTGCTGAATTGTGAACTCCTGCAGGAAGTGGACTGGGTCTTGTTAATCTCTGCCCTTCTGGTACCTCAGGGCTGGGCACACACTAGATGTGTCATGAATGTTTTCTTGAGTTGAAGACCTGATGTTGAAAGAATGGCATGGTACAAGCAAACAATGAAGCTCTACTCAGGTCTTCGTAAAGGGATCATGGTTAAATTTTCTGGTTTCCAGGACCTCCATGTGCCCACTGGTTCTAGGCCTCAGGGCTGCCTCCCATTACCCCTGCCTGTCATTGTATCCATTCAAGAGGGCAGGTGGATACAAAGTGGGTGGAGTTAAGCCTAAATATACTCCCACTCCTAGCATAATCATTCTCAAAATTTATTGATTGTCAGAATCACCTGAAAGACTTGTTAAAACAGACTGCTAGATCTTACCTCGGGAGCTCTGGTAGCATAGTGCCTAAGGCACTTGACTGCTAACCAGAAGGCTGGTGCCCACTAGCCACTCCTTGGAAGGAAGATGGGGCAATCTACTTCTGTAGTGATACTGCCTCGGAAACCCAAGGAGGGGTCGCTATGAGTCGGGTCTGACTCGACAGCACATAACAACAACAATAACAACAACGTCAAGTTCCCAGATGATTGTGATGGTGTTCCTCTAGGGACTATTCTTTGGGAATCTCTGTTCTGGTAAAAGGATTTACTTTAAAAATTCACTCTCTATGAGTGCTGGGGAAGGATATAAGGGAAGCTTTTTACTTTGGTTTTGTAGGTTTTAAGAACTATTAGTATTAGATTAATGTGGACAGATGGATCATATTCTATGAGAATACCTCCTCTCCCATCTCCTAGTTTTCCCACAATGTGTTTCAGTTTCACTCAATAAATATGTTTTGAGGGTATAATATGTACATGGCAACATATGTGCAGGAGTTGTTGATAATATCAAGATGAAACAGACATGAAATGTCCTTAAGAGAGATCCTCCCATGCAGTCATAACTATAATTCAAGGAGTCCAAAAAGTAAATGCATAATCTTATGGTAGTGAGTTCCCCATCAGTGGAGTTGTCCAGACAGGCTTCTAGAATATTCAAAAATCCATTGCTCTTGAACAGTTTCTACTCATGGTGACCCCATATGTGTCAAGGTAGAACTATGCTCCACAGGGTTTTGTTATTTTTTCACTTCTATTGTGGTGAAAATATACACAACAAGACATTAGTCAACATAACAACTTCCACATTTGCAGCTCAGGGATGTTAATGACATTTTTCATGTTATGCCACCATTATTGCTGTCCTTTTCCAAAATATTCCACCACTATTAAACTCAATGCCCTACAAACAAAAGCCTCCATTCTCTCCCTCCCTCTTTTTCCATAGAGTTTTCAATGGCTGATGTTTTGGAAGTAGAACACCAGACCTTTCTTCCAAGGAGCGTTTAGGTGGACTTGAACTTTTCAGTTAGTAGCCAAGAGTTAGGGACTCACCATGTAGGGACTCCCTCCAGAATATTAGTAGCAATAAAATAATTTGATATGTGGTCAGACTACATGATCATTCAGGTCCTGAAATTCTGTGATTAAAGAAGACAGTGACAATGGACATAACAAAAAGACATATATGAAATTCCATAGAAATTACAGTGGGGAGATCTGCAAAGGCAGATGAAGCTTCCTTTTGTAGATACTGGTATTTTTTATCATTATTTTGAATATTCCTCACCAACAGAACACTTGGTGACTAAATGGATTTATATCCAATGACCCCATAATTTGCTGTTTATTGACCTCAGATCATTTAAAAGGTTAAATGGAAAATGCCACAAGAAGGCCTAGATTATACCTATGGGGACTCTTTAGGTCTCACTTTCTGAGTCAAATGGAATTGAGATGTATAGTGCCATTTGTTTTTCTACAATATTTACAACAAAGAACGAGAGAAAAAATGTAAGTAGCCAGTTTCAGGGCATGAATTTATAGTTGCTAGGTCATCAACTTGAATGTCAGACGCTCATCTTACCTCATTAAGGAAGTTTGATTGATTGCCATGTTCCATAGCATGAGGCAAGGGTCAAAGTCTCTCTTTTAAGAAGGCCAACACTTAAGATATGGCAGACCAAGTAAGCGCCCCCCCACCACTATTATTTATTAAGAACTTATTAGGTGCAGCACAAACAGTTTGTGCTCAACTACCAACCTACAGGTTGGGGCTCAAACGCACCCAGTATGGAAGAAAGACCTGACAACGTGCTTCTGTAAAGATTAACCAAAAAAAAACCACACCAAACTCACTGCCATCAAGCCGGTCCTGACTCATAGCGACCCCTCCTTGGGTTTCTGAGGTGATATCTCTACGGAAGTAGATTGCCCAATTTTCCTTCCGAGGCATGGCTGGTGGGTTTGAACTGCCAGCTTTCTGGTTAGCAGTCAAGTGCCTTAGGCCATCCTATGGAGCAGTTCTACTCTGCAACACATGGGGTTGCCGTGAGTTAGAATCAACCAGATGGTTATGGTTTTGTTTTTTTGATTTTATTATGTGCCGGGCACTGAATGAAGTGCTCTACAAGTATTATTTATAATCCTTTAAACTATGCTTCAAGTAATAGTATCCTCATTTTTCTGATAAGAAAAAAGGCACAGAGAGATTAAGTGTCTTATTTAGACGCACAGCAAAACTCCTCAATTCATTTTTGAAGTCAACATAACCATAAAACCAAACCCTGATAAAAATCCAAAAATTCTAGATCTATCTCAAGTGTGAGATATGCAAAATGCATTATTAGCAAATAGAATGCAGTAGTGTATCAAGCAGAGTGTGTTCTAGGAATGGCCCAAATGGATCAGTAATAGGAAATATTAGGAACTTAACATACTTTACAGACGGCTGGCGGTTCAAACCCACCAGCCACTCCTCGGAAGGAAGGTTGGGCAATCCTACTTCCGTAGTGATACTGCCTCGGAAACCCAAGGAGGGGTCGCTATGAGTTGGGGCCGACTCGACAGCAAAACAACAACAACAACAACAACATACTTTACCGTACCTACAAACTAAAGGAAAGCTATATATTAATAGATGGTGCTGAAAGGGCAGTCAATAAAAATTCTCCAACAATAAAAAATCTAAAACAGGAATAGGAAGAATTGCTTAAATATGATAAAGACTAAAAATGAATCAAATATATTACACTAAATAGTGAAAACTAAATCCAGCTTCATAGAAATAGGAAATGCTTGCTTTTGTCATTTTAAAATAATGTTTTGGTGATTCTTACAAGTAAATTAAGGAAATAAAATGGTTGGTATAAATTTGGGAAAGGAGAGATGACATTATCTCTTTTCCCAATATTGTATACCTAAAAAACCCAAGAACATCTAGAAAGAAACTCTACCAGAAGTAATAAGGGAATTAGATAAGATGACAGGACAACAGCTCTTCTCCATACCACCAGGGTCACCCAGCCATTGAACACTGGTGCCTGCAACCGGGATTTGATCCAAGTTTGATGCAGAAGTCTGTGTTCTTACTACCTGATGAAGTTTTTTTGGAACACAGTCATGTTAGCACAAATGGAAAGGAGAGCCTTTTAGTGCTTGTAACTTCCAGTGCTTTAGTGGAGCAGATGCGTTTGCTCTGCTGGGGGAGAGGGAGACGAGATTAGAGCGTTGGCATGGGATTTTGATTGTGAAGAGCCTCAAGTCCTCTGCTACCAGCAATACTGCCCTCCTAGGGGCTGAGATATTAATGGGGCTGTGTGTGGGTTGAGGTTGGGAGTGGTAGTCTGGGGTTACCTATTTAGCCAGACTTTTGCTTCCTAGGCACTGAGTAGCCAACCAACCAAACTGCATCCCTTTCTTCTTGGCTCCAAGAAGACATAGTTATGTCCCTTGTTGCTTTTGTCTCAAACTGTCCATTTGAGGTTTAGTGCTTATGAGGACCCATTTTTAGAGATTTCGGGTATCAGAGGCCTGCCTGAGATATCAAGGGTATAAGCTTGGGTTATTATATTCACTAGGGATGCTGTATGTAAAACTTTACTACCTAAGAGTCAGTCACAGGGTGGTAGAAGGAACAGTATAGGAGACTTGGTTTCTCATGACACTGCCACTAATTAGCTGTGTGTTCCCAGGCAAATCCCTTAGCCTTGATGGGCCTCCCTTATCTGTGCCATGGGGTATTCTTGAGTTAGATAGATTCTCAATGCCCTTTGACTTCAAAGTTATAATAACAATCACCCTTACCTTGTGCCTGATACTATTCTAAGAGCTTTGCATAGATAAACTTCTCACAACAACCCCATTTTACATCTAAAGAAACTGAGGCACAGAGTGGTTGACTTGTCTGAGCTCTCACAGCTAGGAAATGCTGGAGCTCTTGCATAGAGCTCTTAGACTCTATCCTGTTAATGTTTTTTTTTCTTTACCTGGGCCCATGTTGTTATAGTGGTGTTAGTTCTTTGGGTTGAGGGAAGGGGGCTTGAGGTCAGAGATCCTTTCGAAGGGTAAACTCAGCTCTGGAGTGGATGGACAGGGTCACTCCCGGGTAGATGATAGCAGTGGTTGCTGACATTTGTGCTTTCCCCTTTCTTTCCTCTTTCCATGTCTAGTCTGCGGCAAGCGCTACAAGAACCGGCCAGGACTCAGTTACCACTACGCTCACACTCACCTGGCCAGCGAGGAGGGGGATGAAGCCCAAGATCAGGAGACACGGTCCCCACCTAACCACAGAAATGAAAACCACAGACGTGAGTTCCCACTTGTGAAATTGGGACAGTGATGAAGGAGGGTGGGGTGGGTAGGGCTAGAGAGCATTCTTTTTTCACCTCTGGCATCTTCTGGTGGCAACTGTTGATTGGCCTTAATGTCCTGAGGTAGATTGAGAGTTTCAGCTCAGCCAGGCAACTACCCTTGTGGCATTCACATCCAGCTCTGCTCCCAGAGGAAGGAAGGTGAGTCTGAAGGCAGAAAGGAAAGGTCCTTACCTGGCCATTGGCAAATGCCAGACCCACTGCTCTTTTCCCTCAGATCCAGAAGATCCATTCACAGCTGCTAAACTGTGCTGGGTCATGGCCCTTGGGTGTGTCAGTTCAGGTAGCTATTTCCAAATGTCTGCTTGGCCTCCAAAAGATTTAAGAGAATATTTTTATCTATTGCCTGGCTTTGTTATACCAAAACCAAACCAAATGCACTGCCACCGAGTCCACAATTTTGGTACAGGGCTCTTCTGTCTTAGAAATACTGCCCTGAGCCTTCATGCTTTTTGCTTGAGCACTAGATCAGTAAACGTGAGCTGGGTAGACTTGTCACGTGGGATGCTGGGCACTTGAAGACCTGAAGATTTGTATTTGCATTTGTACTCTTTCCTTCCTCATCTTCCAGTTACAACTGGGGAGTTGAAAGGGGCTTTGTGTTTACTACTTGGCTTTCCTCCATAAGATTTCTTATGGTCTCTGGGTCTACAAAAAACCTCAAGAAGGGATAGGTTAATGTAGTCTTGATAGGGCTTATTTTAAGATGTGGGTCATTCTAAGATCATTGAGTGAAGAATATTTGTGGAGGCACCATGTGTTTTTCATTTTGCTCACAAGATTTGGTAGTAGGTGCTCTTAAAGCAAACAATTCAATGTAATTAAAGGCATCAATCCTTTAAAAATATTCAGACTCTGGGATTCGAGGGTGATGCTTATGCATTTCAGTCAATCAACTCAAGTCAACCAGTGACAGTTGGCTGCCTTCACCAAATATTTGTGATAATTAACACATCTGCAGCCAAGACTCTTTTGGATTGGCGTATGTCTTCCTCCAACCCCCAAGCCATGCTCATTATAGCATGGTCTTTTAAAGTTTTTAGTCACTTGCATGGTTCAAGTCTTTAGTGTGATAGACCCTTGTACTCTTACTTACTCTTCTCATCTGGACAGAATCTCAAAAGTCAGGCAGGAGGTATCTGACAGAACTTTTCCCACCTTCCCTCCTCAACTTCTGTGTAGCTGCGATACTGAAGTCCCTGTCTTCTCTCTGGGAAGAGTGTCCTTGGTCTAGTCACCCTCACCTTCCAGGAACTGATGTTTCCTGAAGCAGCTGCCGTTTGCCTTTCCGTCTCCCCTCTTTTCCCTTCTCTGCCTACAGAAAGTACAGTAAGAAGTGACCAAGGCACAGTAGTCTCTGCCATGAGGAGGCTGATAATACTCTCCTTTGTTTTGGGTTGCTATCTGGAAAGTATTTAGTAGAGATGGTTGCTCTCTCTAACATGTGATTACCCTGTTACTCACTGCTGTCAGGCTGATTCTGACTCGTGACAACCCCATGTGGTACAGAGTAGAACTGATCCATACAGTTTTCTCAGCTGTAATCTTTACAAAAGCAGATCACCAGGCCTCTCTTCCAAGGTGCTGTAGGGTGGCTTTGAATCACCAACTTTTAGGTTATCAGCCAATAACAAACCTCTTGTGCCATCCGGACACCTTAAAGCATGTATTAAGATAAAAATCAAACCCACTGCCATCAAGTTGAATCTAACTCATAGCAACCCTATAGAACAGAGTAGAACTGTCCCATAGGGTTTCCAAGGCTGTACATCTTTACGGAAGCTGACTGCTTCATCTTTCTCCCACAGAGCAGATGGTGGGGTCCAACCGCTGAACTTTTGGTTAGCATCCCAGTCTTTAACCACAGCACCATCAGAACTTCTAAAGTATATATCAGTTTGGTGGTGTTTTTCACTTCCCCCAGTACTGGCTTATCTTTTTTACATACTTTTGCCAATGGCAGCCATTTTGTTCCGTGAGGTGCTTCCCTCACATTACAGGGTTTGCAATACTTCTCTTCTGTCTGTGTCTCATTTCCTTTGGTTCTCCTATTCCCTTGCTATAGTGAGGTGTGTGCATGTGTTTACAGAGATGGCAATAGCAGAGGAAAGGTCCTTGTGGGAGCAGTTACTGCAGACCCCAAGTGGAAGGAGGCAATCTCTCCCTTAGCATTTCCTGTGCTTGCCTCTAGGTGGGCTGTTGCCATCGAGGACACTGGCATCTTTTTTGTGGTCCACCAGGATCACCTCACGTGTGCGCATCCCTTGTGTCTCGTCCTCTCCTCACCTTATAGCCAGCTCACCTTACTTAGTAGAGAAGCTGTGGTTTTTCCCTCCAAGATGGAGACGCTTCCCTAAAAAAATCTCAGCCTGATGCTTTTCTCATTCTTGTGGATTGTCAGGGAACTTACTCACTGCAAGCCACCCCCACCCCTTCGCCCCTCCTCGCCCTGCTGAGGAGAAATGCAGTTCTTCAAGGAGGATCATCTGGCTGCCCATGGGTTTTAAGCCTGGTGGATCCAGGGCTTCCCATGGAGAAGGCTCTAGACAGACACCTTTTTAGTAACATCTCCCACAGCATCCCCCTGAGGACAATTTGACTGACCTTCATGTTGCTTAGCAGGGAGGGTGCAGCAGAAAGGCCCCTGGTGTCTCCTGAAGCACTTGTCTCCCTCTCCCCAGTTTCTCTGGACAAATCCAAGAGATGCTTCTCTTTCTGCAGCCTCTTACTGCACACCACTGATCTGTCTGCTGCTCTAAGTGTGTGCTCTGTCCCTCCCACCTTCTCCTGGTGAGCAGCCCCCAACCATCGTCTCATGAGCACTAATTGCCAGCATCATTAGTACCCAGTCATTAGCTGCTCCCACTGTTTGGGGAGGGGGGAGCGCCTATCCATCCTTCCCCTAAATGCCACTGAGCCTGTGTAAGTGAATTGAACGTGACAGCTCTGCCACATCCTAAGGTCTCAGCTTCGAGATCCTTCCTCACCAGGGCTTTCTGAGTGGGGGAGGGAAGCAGGAAATCTACAGTGCCCCCAGGAAAAGGCCTGGGCTCTAGTGAAGGAGGAATGCTGACACTCCCTCTTCTGTAGAGCTTCAGGGTGACCCGAGCTGCTTGTGAGTGTGGCCTAATACAAAAACAGCCATGCAGACCTGGCAGGGCCACAGACAGCTGGGTTCACACCACTGGCAACAGTAGAGACCTTTTGACTTTGGTCCTCCTGCTGTCCCTTGTTCCATCCCCCTACTGTGTCTCTAGTGCAGCCCCTTGCTCATCCCCGTGCCCGCTGCTGCTGAAAGGGCACTCGAGCACAGCTAGCACTGGCGCCCCAGCCCCTGGCCCATGCTGTCCCCGAGCTGCCAGCTCAGCAATGGACTGCGATGCTGGCTGTCCTCCTGGCCCCCTCCCAGCTGATGTGCTCCCGCCTTTGTTTCTCTCCTAGTCTCTCATGTACTTCTGATTATATGTTTCTCATCTCTCCTTGAGGTTTGTCGCCTTTCTTCTGTGCCTCAACCACAGGCAGCCAAGGAAGGGACACTTGAAGTTCAAACACTCCCCCTTGCGAGATAGTACTTTTTGGATGGGGTCTCCCCCATCCCAAGCCATTGCCCTTCCTCTTCCTGTGTGATGGTGGATTTTTCTTCCTCCTTCCCGTATCTTCTACCACCATAAACCAATTTCTCCAAATGAAACTACCATCTGTGTGTGTGACATGCAGTTACATACTGTTCTGGTTCCCTAGTGCTGCTCTGACAGGAATATACCACAAATGGGATGCCCGTAACAAACAGAAGTTTATTCTTACCATCGGGAGGCTTTAAGTCCAAGTTCAAAGTGCCGGGCTCTAGGGGCTGGGTGAAAGCCCCTCAACCTTGGGTTGTAGCTCTGCCTTCTGCTCCCAGCCCAATGAAGCTGGAGGCTTTTCTTCACTCAGCTGCTGGCTGCTGAGGCTGACAAACCCAAGATGACAAGTAAAAAGGCACAGTCCAATGTTACCAACCCATAAAGCAGGGTATTACTTCAAGTCCACTGTAAGTCTCAAAGTCGGCAGAGCATGGCAGGCTGCTGAACAACATGGCTACATGCGGGGCCCAAGCATGCCATAAGTTAGAGACCATTCCCCAAGGCTTCTGCTTATATACAGGAAGCAGACCACATACCCTAAGGCAGCTACTCAGCTGTTCCCAGTAGATTGCACCATGGAGTTGATTACCAGTCTCATCATGGGGAATACTACATCCAGCTGCCCAGCCACTCAACCAGGCCCGGCCAAGTTGACACACAAACTGAACTACCACATATCCATAACCAAAAAAAACCAAACTCACTGCTGTCAAGTTGATTTGACTCATAGTGACCCCTCCTTGGGTTTCTGAGGTGGCATCTCTACAGAAGTAGATTGCCCAATCTTCCTTCTGAGGAGTGGCTGGTGGGTTTGAACCACCAGCCTTTGGTTAGTAGTCAAATGCCTTAGGCACTATATCACCAGAGCTACACATACCAAAAACCAAACTCAATGCCATTGAGTCGATTCTGACTCACAACAGCTCCCTTTGGGTTTCTGAGGCAGTAAATCCTTCTAGAAGTAGATTGCCCAGTCTTCCTTCCATGGAGTGGCTGGTGGGTTTGAACCACCAACCTTCTGGTTAGCAGTCAGATGCCTTAGGCACTATGCCACCAGAGCTCCTTATTACATACACATAGCCATATGTGGATATGAATAAAAAGAGGGATGGCTTGGGCAGATTAGGATTCTCAGAGAGGGGCTACGTAGAAGTATCCATTGTGGCTCCTAAAATACCACCTTGGTGCACAGTCCTGATGGCGCCAGTGTAGCAGAAAGAACACTGGATTAGAATTCAAAACTCCTTTGACACAAGCTCACAATGTCAAAATCCTTCTTGAATTTCTTTTGATTGTGATTTGAGTGAAAGTTTA